TCGCTTTGCGCTGTGTCCTCCAAACACATACAGGGTCCCCTGACCCCTCAGAAGGAAAATTTCTAGGGCCTCTATAAATATGGAAGAATTTGTGTCCTTCCTTTTGAAGAAATGCTGGCACTCGAAAGGAGGATGTACATGGACAATAACCCATTCCACCTTTTGTTCTTGACATAATTTAATATCATTCTCAAATGAAAAATGAACGACTTTAGGACTGGATTAATTGGAGAAGGAATGCTTCGTATAAATGTTTCATTACAATCTGTCCTTCTTGCTGGCATTCACTGAGGCTCCCTGACTGTGTGTGTCGCCACAGACTTTACCTCTTAAAGGTCACTGACTCGCCCATTTCTCTCCATCTCTTCTCCTTCACCGGGAGGGAGAGTGTAGCAGTCTCCTAACCACAATCCTCACTTCTGCCTTTCCCCGCTTCCATCCATCCTCTCTCCTTACAGCAGCCACGGTGAGCCTTGATAAGCCCAAATCTCCCTTTCCATGGATTCCCAGTGCTGTTAGACCCAAGTCGAGTCCTTCATAGGGACTATAAAGTCTCGTCTCTGCCCAGCTCTTCAACCCCATCTCTCTTTGCTGCTCCAGGCTCCTTACTAAGCAAAGAAGCCAGCTCTTTCAGGTCCTTCAGAGCACCAGCATCCTTGCCTCCCTTTGGTCTTTGCTGAGCTGTTCTCTTTGTCTGGCCTGCTCTCCCACCCTCACACCGTCCCCATCATGCATCTCGCTCCTACACCTCCTCAGGCTTCCACTTAAGCATTAATTCCTTGGGAAAAGTTTTCCTCACTCCCCGGACTAAGTTAGGACCCCTATATGATTTTCTCCTGGCATATTGTACTTTTTCTTCACAGCATTTCTCAGCTGTCGCTGGATAACTGTTTGCTCATGTGTTTAATAGACTGCTTGTCAGGGCGGCAGTCCAGTCCAGGCCCTGGGTTCTTGAGTCAGACTGCACAACTCAGAGCTGAGCTCTGCCGTTTACTAATGTCCTGGATAAATCCCGCCACTTTGCTGTACTTCCATTTCTTCACCTTCCAAATAGGGTGAATACCAGCATCTATGTCACATGGTCACTTTAGGCATTAGATTAGGTGCCAAGTAGTCCATGTCTGGCATATAGTAAGTGCTCAGTAAATATTAGGAAGAAAACTTTAGTAGGTACAAAATACTTGTTTGCAGAAAGAGTGAATGCTTTTCATATGAAATGAGATAACAGCATTTGCCCTGCCAATCACTTAAAATGGATTTAAGATTAAATAAATTACTGAGTGTGAAGAAGCTTTTCAACTTCTCTGAGGCTCTGCAAATGGGGAGTCCTGCCATTGTTGTTTACACTTCCTACTCTTTTTTTTTTTTTGAGGAAGATTAGCCCTGAGATAACTGCCTCCAATCCTCCTCTTTTTGCTGAGGAAGACTGGCCCTGAGCTAACACCTGTGCCCATCTTCCTCTACTTTATATGTGGGACGCCTACCACAGCATGGCTTGCCAAGCGGTGCCATGTCCGTACCCGGGATCCAAACCAGTGCACCCTGGGCTGCCGAAGTGGAACGTGTGCACTCAATGGCTGTGCCACTGGGCTGGCTACTATACTTCCACTCTTAAGCTTATCTTTCTTAACCAAAAATTCTCAGTGACGTGATTTTTTTTTAACAAGAGCAAGGTTGAGGCAGAGCTGCATGGCCCATTGTCTTATATGTGACAACGTTTTCCCAGGACAGCCAAGACCACACCCCTATTCCCACCAAGGAGACGCAGCACAGGAAGCACAAGGCTCCTTCCTAGGAGGATGCAGGGAAAGCAGGGACAAGGAGCTCCCCTGGCTCTCCCTGTCCTGTGCAAACAGTCTCCCCAGGTCCGGGGGCTCACAGTCTAGCACTTTATCCCCTGGGAAAAAATATTAGCTTTTAGTACATGAACAGACCTTGGAGTTTTCCTTCAGGGGAACAGGTGCTATTTAAAGCTCCAGGACAGTGGAATGCTGATGTAGCGCGACAGCAGGAGCAGTGAAAGTAGGCTGCGACGGGTGATACAGGCCCCCAATTAATCGAACTGCTCCTATCCTGCACGCAGTCAGTGTATTTTCTCCAATTTAGTTCATATTCCTGCTATGAAATCTAGAGATTTATGGATTCTGAGAGTGAAAGGCATCTTAGGGCTGTTGAACCCAGAAGCCTGCTCCATGATTCTCTCCTCAATGTGTGGCCAAGCCACAGGCCCCCACCTTCCTGGATGGGGTCCCTTATCTCAGGGGTGGGCAGGCCCCAGGCTATGCTAAAGTGAAGACAGCTCCTGGTTGACCTGCGCAGTGGGGTGCTGGGTCAAGGGAAGAGAGCCTAATGCAATAAGGTTCGTAATTAGAAGTGAGAAAGATGCTGGGGCCAAAGGGGAACTGGGTGAGGATTTTGATCAGGAGGAAACAGACTGAAGTGAGGTGCGGACACAGGTGAGATGGTGTCTACAGGGTCCTCCCATCACCTGGGGCCGGAGCTCATCTTAGACCCTACAGGTCCTGGGGTGAAATCTCAAGCCAGGGTAAAGACTTTAGGGGTACAAACCACCCCCACACAATGAGAACTGAAAGGGCAAATGAAACAGAAGTGCATGTGTTTGTAACCACATACACACACAGTCAAAAGTCTCAAACAGATAGGTAGAAAAAACCCACAACCATGGATTTATTCCTGCCTATAAATAGAAAATAATTCTCAACGTTTATAGACTTCATAACACGTAAACAAATTATACTTGAATATTAATGATTGAAAGGATTTTTCAGGCTGTGTTTCGTTTTTACAAAGTGGAGCTGTCCTGTGGAAATAAATGCACTTGCATGGTGACTTGGACTCCAGATCCTGTGTGTATATATAGAAATATCCACACAAAATAGTTATACCTTTTAAACCACTTTTCTCCTAGTCCAGTACTCTGCAGGGGTAATTTGAGTAGGCATTGATGATGATAAACACCCCAGTTTAGAAGATGTTAAACCAAGCTTATCAGAGCTCACATAGAGAAACAAATTAGGCAAACTGAAGTAATTTCAGCTAATGAAGTTTGATTCCAAACATCCAGATCAATTAAGCTTCAAGTACTTGCTTGGGTTCCTGCTCTGTAAGGCAGCAACGCGCTGCTGCCTAGAGGATGGGGCTGGAAGTCCTAACAGAGAAGGTCTGGAATGAAGGTGACAGAACCATTCAGTGCCTCGTGGATATATTTCTCAGGCCTTGCTGTTTGAGGATCACATCATATTGAAATGAAGGGAAAGTGAGCAAGGTACCCATGCGGACCCTGCTTATTGAGGGTCGCAGGGGTTCTAAATTTCCAAGGAGCTGATATCGTGAGAACATGGTCAGCCTTCTGGGTAAAAGCTGCCCAGTAAGAAAGCGGGCATCAGTAAGGTGGAAGGGCTTCCATGGAAGGGTGGGAAGCCCAGGAACTTGAAGTCAGGTGATCAGCAGAAACTCGTCCTGGTTCTGACGCAAACTAGCTGTGTTTCACATCTCTGAGTCTTGGTTTTCCAATCCTAATTAGACTGGATAATTTCTTACGCCCCTTTCATCTCAGAAGTTCTCCATTTCAAGCCAGGTCTTCCTCCATCCTGACAGGAAACTCTAAGTGTGGAAGTGTGTGTGTCTGTGCGTTCTGTGTGTGTGTACATGAGAGAAAGATTAAGGGCAGGAGGGAGGAACTACAGAGGAGTTACACCTTGGCCCTCTCTGAATTTGGATGAAGAAGCGCTTCCTTCAAGGCTTGGCCCTCCATTGGTTATGTGTCCAATACTGTTTTGAAACTAATTCAGGCCACTATTTGCTGTGGTGGGGGCAGGTGGGGATGTCTCAGCAGGCACACATCCGAGAAAACTCACCTTTGAGTCTTAGCCCCACCCACAGACCCACATTTAATGCTCTTCCACTTCCACTGCTTCCATGTTCCTTACCACCCAGCACCCCCATCTTGCTCAGAACTTCCCAGAAATGGACAGTAATCTAGACAAGTGGCCTCCAAACATTTTTGGAGTATACATGCCATATGCGTAAATATTTATCTAGTAATAAAATATACATGAGATAGTAGTACACTAAATAATTGTGTACATTATGAAATCTTCACAGAACAGAAATTAAAATCATATAAGTTTATCAAAGAGTAGAAAGAGACATTTTTTAATTTTCTTGCCAAATCCTAATAGTTTCATTTCGTCTTCCCCTTGGATGCACACATCCCATTTCAGAGAGCACTGCTTTAGTACAAATTGGAGGCAACGTGACATGGTGTTTACATTTATGGCCTTGGTGTCAGACCGATTTGGGACTGAGCCTTGACTCTACCCCCTAGCAGCTATGGGCAAGATATCTAAACTTTCTAGGCCTCAGTTTTCTTGTCTGTGAAATAATAGTATATTTCTTCACGTTGTTATCATAATTATTACCATCATCTAGATGTTTTCCTTATCTATTGTGTTTTTTGTAATTGTGTTTTTCAGTCACTCTTGCATTAAATTATTTATTGTGTACATATTTATTGAGCACTGTTTATGCTTTAAATGCTGTTGTGATTGATAAGAAGACAGCAGGGGCCCAGCCCCATGGCCTAATGGTTAAAGTTCTGCACACTCCTCTTTGCTGGCCTGGGTTCATGGGTTCAGATCCCAGGTGTGGACCTACACTGCTTGTCAGCCACATTGTTGTGGCAACCCACGTACAAAATAGGGAAAGACTGGTACAGATGTTAGCTCAGGGCAAATCTTCCTCAGCAAAAGAAGAAGAAGGAGAAGAAGACAGAAGGGACCACTGCAGTTGAATGCTTGCCCTCATGGAGTTTATATCCTAGTGAGGGAGACAAAGATTAAACAAATTAAGACTGCATGCGTGGACCCAGGCTGCCCAAGCTCTCAGGCTGAGGCATGAAGATATGGCCACTCCCATCCCCGAGAGCTCCCCATTTCCTCTCTCCCCGGGTCTGTCTTGGTGGATGCTGGAAACCTTACCCTGAAGCAGTTCTTCATCTTCTTTGGGTCCCCTACACAAATCTGGGTGGCCTGGTTGCAATGGTGGGGGAAGTGGGAGTAACAGACATCATCCTTCTGCACAGTCAGCTCCACATCCTGCAGTGTGTCGGACACTCTGTCTACTGGGGAGACTTTCCCCCAGCCAGCCACACTGCACACCTCTCTGGGCTTCACCTGGGCCTTGCCCCTGGGCAGGCTGATGATCCTCACAGCTGCAGTCTGCTTGGCCTTTCTCTCCAGCTGAAGGGAAGACGCAAGAAAGTCCAGCTCAGCCACTGGCCTCCTGGGCCTGGACACCGCGATGGGGCTGCACTGACTTTCCTCTCCCCTGAGCCACTGGGACTAGTCAGGCGGCCTGGATGGGAACGAGGTGAGGGACAGGTCCCAGTGGGAGGGGAAGCAATCTAGACGGAGGACAGCAGGAGCAGCAGGGAGGTTCCCTTATCTTTAGTAAAATGACGTCATTGGAGAGGTTCTTAGGATTATAGTCTGGGTGGTGGATGGCTTGTCTCACAGTCATGACCTGCTGGGTCTTCTCCTGCTTCTGGATGTTGTGGGCCCCAAGGGTGACACTGATTACTCTGCATAGAAAGTAGACTGAGGTGGTAGCATGCATGGAATCAAAAGAGATCCAGCCCTAGAGCCATGAAGGGCAGGTGACATGGGGCAGGGTAGGGCTGCAATTAGGGGAAATTGAAACAAGAGGAGGACTGGGCACTGAGTGACTGTCCCCTGTGCTTCTCAATGACATTGAGGGTAGGTCACCTGGATGCTTTCTTTAGCCCTCAAGTCATATTGTGAAAATACTCTGTTTGCATTTTGACCCCAGTGCATGCTTTCATCCTTCCCAGCTGCTTTATTTGGCCAGTGTGGTCTCTTTTCTCAACTGGGCCACTTGCTCTCACCTCTGACCCTCTGAACCCAAAGGTTGCCTGTCCTATTTCTCACTTTCCATCACCCAGTCATGGTCTCAGATGGCTCCTCTCATGAGCTCTCATGGCCTTGAGTTACCAGGAGCCGGGGGAGCTCCCCTGGGCTGCAGTCCCTGGGCAGAGGGCAGGGGTCCCTGTAGGGGTCTCAGGAGGTGTCAGTTGTCTGCAGCCCCTCACCTTCCCCGGCAGTGAGCAGCCATCAGAATAAAGTCCTCTCACATGCGAACACTGCCACACTTCATCTTTTTGTTCACAAGCAGAAACTGAACAAACGCCATGTAGGGGCGGGAGTGGGGCTTGGCCTCATGTCCTCTGATGATGTCCTCTGAAAGAAAAGACTAGAAGATTGGCTTTCTGGGAGCGGCTGTGGTCAAGAGGAAAGGCTCTGGAAGGTGGTGATTGAGGGTGGGGTCTACAGTGCCCTGCTAACACGGGGGAGTGTCCTTCCAGGTTCTCCTTGCAGCAGAATAACCTTTTCTGAATGTCAAGGCTCAGAACCTCCTGTGAGAAAACGGAAGACAGTATTTGTTGTCCCTGTCCTACTTCAGACCATGCACGGAGGAGGTAAGAGCTGTCTTCACGATGGTGGAGCCCAGAGGATCGTGGACAGGGCACCGCTACGCCTTCTGTCTCAGTGAGTCTCCCAAGCCCTCTGAGCCTCTGCCAATGTGTCAACTGGTGCCCATATCTAATAATCTGTCCATGAGCTTATGGTGCTGGATTTTCTAATATCCTCATGTCCGAGGGTCTAACCCGTCCTAGGATCTCAGTAAACATTTTGTGGCTGCATGAATGAACATCCTTCACTTAGCTTTAGGTTGAGGTTTGGTGGGGATCATGCTGGTGGGATTGAAGTCTCGACCATTGGCCTGGAGAGGGGACACTGTGTGGAGCAGCCGATGGCCTGAGACGGCAGGGGGAGGTGGGGCTGAAAATGTGCTGCCCAGGACCTCGGCAGAGCCACGGCAACGGGGCGCCCTGCATGCAGTGATCCAGCCCCTTCAGAGATCAGCTGCTCCCTGGGCTTCTCTCCTCAGCAAGGGTGAGGGGGTGAAGTTACCAGGAAATGAAACTGAATCTTAAGCTGGGTCCAGGACAACTCTCATTACCACACCCGATTTTTCTGAGCCGCCCTTTCTTGGGCTGGAGTGAGGGATTTTAACTACTTGTCATTTGTAGCTTCACGTAGTCTGCCAGATGCCTTTCTATGAACAATCATCTTCCCAGGTGATAAGCGAGAGAGGCCCACATACTAAACCTTCTAGTGAACAGCCTTCCTTCCTGCCACCCTTTTTGAGTGTCTATGCAGCATTGGACTTGTTAGTGTAGGTTTGGGATAGAGGCTGGCATCTAGCAAGATCTTGGGCTCAAACTGAGGAAAATCCCTGACTGTGCTGGGCAGAAGGGTGAGGAGTCCAAAGGGTTGTGTCAGATGGGCTGAGGTTTCTGGAATGGGGATGGTCACTCACCTGTCCCAGCCTCAGGAGGCAGAAGAAATGCTAACAAAAGCAGCAGTGGCTGCACCTTTCCTGAAGGTCTGCTGAGGTCACAGCTGCTGGTATTACTTCTTTCCAGACACAAGGTCCCCACGGGGAAGGCAGGAGGGGTGGCTCAAGACCTCACAGACGTCCTAGACCTGTGCTCTTCTGGTTTTCTTGTGTCATCTGCAAGGTGGTTTGTCGAAGTTCTCTGGCTTGGCTTAGGTGACAGTAGCACTGCCACCAACCACACTTGCACTCCCAGTGCAGAGTCACAAGGTGAAAGCAAGAAGAAAGAACAAGAAAGTGAAGCCTGTGCTGCAGCCAGCAGAGGAGCTGGACCCCAGAAGCCCCTCAGTGACTGAATCTAGAATGTCTCCATTTCTCAGCTCCTGGATCTTTTTCCATCCTGATGAATTCATGAATAACTATTTAGGAAGCTTGCTCCAAGGAGATGACTGAGATGGCTCCTGCCCTTGAGAAGATGGCGGTCGCCTTGAGTAGACTGAGAATCTGTGGTTAGAGTGTAGGCCAGTAAGGGCTGTGGTGGGGGTCTGCTTGGTGGTGGGAGATAACATCTGAACCTCCCTTAGGGGCATGTAGAGCTGGACACACGTAGACACCCCCAGTGGTAACCTCACTGCCTCTCTGACCACAAGTCCAGCCTCGTGTTTTGGAATATTTAGAATCCCCTCTTTAAATGTAAATATTCCATGACAAAGAGAGATTCCTTTATCCCACAGTTTTGAGTGAAATCCTGGACTTGATATTCATGGGACCAAAACAAACCCTCATTGAGTCCATCAGAATTCAATGCCTAAGTGGTTTATTCTTGAGTCATTGAGCACCCCTGGACCTGAGGGGGGGATTGTTCCACCTCAGTCAGAGTGTCTGTTTTCTGAGGAGGGAGTTGCCCTTGAGAAATGCTGGTTACTGGTGACAGATGATGGGGAAATGGGTGCTGATCATCCTAATAATCACTATCCACCAAGTACTCTCTGTCCTGGGCCCAGTGAATCATGGCTCTGATGTCCCTGGGCCTACCGATAATAAGTATTTGCCAACAGATTATCCCAACATCCTCTCCAGTATGATGACAGATGAGGGAGTAGTGGAAAAGAAGAGATTATGAATTCTAAATAGCTGGATCCCAATTCTGTCAAAGCAACGGAATGTTATGAAGACACAGAAAAAGAGGGGAAGGCATCCTGCTTAAGCACTAATGATGATGATCTCGGGGTGGTGAAATTCTTGGGAATTTTCATACTCTTATTTGTCTGTTCTGCCTTTACCTGTCTTTCTTTGATGAACATGTATAACTTTTCTACCCAGTAAACATTTTCCCATAGTCGAAGCACACTCATCAATGACAAACATTCACCAGACCACTTCTTTCTAGTCTAGCCCTCTCTAAGGTGGATATTTTAAAAATGAGTTTACTTTTCTCAGTTCGTTCTTATATACAAGATTCAGAGATTGTTGAAAAGTTTACTCAATACGCTATAGGCTCTAGGACATGTTGGTGAATAAAGAAAGAATTAATGATTTCCACTCTAAAGATGGAAGGTTAGTAAGTCCCTGGCAGCCTCCCCTCCGTCCTCCTCTACCCAGTGCATTGCTGGCTTCTGCCCCAGAGAAGATAGATGGATTAATCCTGGAGGCACTTTTTCCATGGGGTAGAAAACTCAAGGTCCTGGTGTAGACAGGTGAATGTTTCCCATTCTTTTTTCCAAAGGAGACAATGTCCTGAGCCACTTTGTTCCACACAAGGGAGCCACTGGGCTCCCGCTGTGGGCAGGGGAGGAGGGACTGAGTTGGGCCTTGTCCTGCTCCTCCTCTCCCTTATGCCCTGAGGTTAAATAGTCTCTGTTTGGGGTCTGTGAGTGAGATGTGGGCCAGGACAGCCTTTGTGCCCCTCTTTGGTTCTGGGGCCCCAGCCTAGCCTTGACAATTCCCTTCTTTTTCTCCCCCAGGAAGACTTTGCCTATAAGTGGCTCTGTGACAGGCTCCTATCCCTGCAGGGTAACGGGACACCAGACTGAGTTGGTGACAAGGCTGAGTACACAAGGATATAGCTAGTTCCCTCTGCCCCAGATCTCCTCAAGCTTGGCTGTTCCCCAGGCTGAGCGTGGACAGTGCTGGGGATCTCACCTTAAAAGAGTCTTACTCTTTGTTGGGTCCCCTACACATATCTGGGTGACGGTGTTGTAATGGTCTTTGTAGTGAGAGATGCGTTGCTCATGCCTTTGGATATCAAGCTCTACCTCTCTCAGTTTTATGGCCGAGGGAGTGTTCCCACCAAGGTGCTCCCAGTTAGCCACACTGCACAATCCCTGGCTTTGCCAGCTCTCTCCTCCTGGGCAGCCAGAGTGGGCTCACAGAGGCAGTCAGGTTGGCCTTCCTCTTCAAGCTCAGGGCAGAGGAAAGGAATTCACAAAGACTCCAGGGACCGTCATCAGGTTGACTTCTCCACAGCCCTGAGACAAGTGAAGGGGTCATACTGGGAAGGAGGGACAGGAGTGAGGTCATGGGGGATTCAAAACTTCAGGATTAAAGTGTGCAAGAACCAGTGGAGAATGTGCCCTACCCTTAGAAATGCAATGCCCTTGGAGAAATTCCTAGGCTTGTAGTCTGAGTGGGGGATGGCTCCTCTCACAGGGATGACCTGCTGGGTCCTTTCCTGCTCCTGGATGTTGTGGAGCCTCAGGGTGAAGTGGGTTAAGCTGCACAGAGCAAAGTGGGACGTGCAGTCACAGGAGATGCACCCCAGGAGCCATGAAGGAGGCAGGACGGCTTGGGACACAGCAGGACTGGAGTGGGGAGGAATTACAGGCGTGGGGCCCTGGTGCTGAGCATCCCCGTGTCCTCTGCTTCTTGACATTCCATGCTGGGTGGCAGTTCCTGGAGCAGATTACGGGTGCTCAGTCAGATGCAGAGCTTGCCTGTGTCTAAGCAAAACCGTGAATTTCTCCCCTGTGCACTCTGGGCATGGAGCACAACCTCAGCCTCCTCCCGATGGCAACTTTGACCAGCCTGTCTCTTCCACAGGCCCCTTGAACTGACCTGTTCCTCTCTCCCCAAAGCTTACCTGTCCCCTGAAGGGCTCTTCTGTGTTACTAGGTGGCCCAGCTCTGCAGCCCCTGAGAAGAAGTTTCTCTGTGAAGTGTTGCCAGAAGGGTGGGGCCACACGCTGTTCCTCACCTTCCTCAGCAGAGAGCGGCTGCTGTCAGCACAAAGTCCTCACACTTGAGGAAACTCCTGCAGCTTTTTCTTTTCTCTTGCATCTGGATCAGAAGAAATGCCAGATAGGGACAAGAATAATGATTGGCCTCATGGCCTCTGATGCTTTTCCCTGAAAGAAAATTTTACCCTGCTTGCTGTGCTCATGGAGTCACAGGCTGGAGGAGGGGACTGGGAACAAAAGAGAGCAGGGTGGGAAGGAGTTGGGGTGGCAGACAGTGGGGTCTGTAGTAGCCAGAAACAACTAAGAAGGAGGCCCTGCAGGTTCCTGGGGTGGCAACTCTGGCTTGCCTAGTGACCCTCCAGACTCAGATTTTCTCTCTGACAAAGCGAAGAGCAGCCTTGGTTCTTAATTCCTGCTGTAGACTCCTGTGTGGCAGACAGGAATGGTGTTTGGAACAAATGATGAAGGCCTGCTGAATCCTGCAAAATCCTTTCCCTGACGTTCTCTGAGTCCTTTCCTCCCTCTTATTTTCCAGACCTCACTGGGCTGCTGGTCTGTAATGTTCGGAACATGAGCTCAAGATGCTGGGTTGTGTTTGCTCTGTATCTGCTTGAGCCTGACACGTCATAGGCGCCCAGTAAATATCTTGTCTGCCCAAAGGAATGGCTCCCAGTTAGCATCTGAGGAGGGTAGGTTTGGATAGCCCTGGTAGGTTCTGAGCAGCAGGCAAGATGGAGCCTTCCAAAGCTGTGGGGCCCATTGACCGAAAAATTACCAGAGAGACCTTGAGACTGATCCAGGCGAACATCAGTGTTAAGAGAACTGAGATGCCGCCAGCTCTGGGATCAACTGGATCCTTAGCTTCTTTACTGGGCAGCATGGGAGTGACAAAGGTTGGAGAAAGGAGTGGATTTGGAGCATAGATTGTAGGTCACTGAGTTAGAAAGCTAGTGGGCCCTACTTTGATTTCAGAAGCCAGCCCCTTTCTCCAAACTGCCCTTTCCTGGGGAATTAATTATTTCTCATTCCCAGCTTCCAACCTCCTTCCAGAGGCCTTTGTAAAAGAACCCACTTTCCAGATGACAAGGGTAGGGCCTGGGGAGGAACAGTATCTGCTGGCCCTTGTGGGGAACAGTGTTCCGCTCTGCCATTCCTGCTGAGTTTTCATTATGCATCAGATTTGCTGGTCTTTGAGGGAGGTTGGACCTGGAGTTCAGAAAGTTCCTGGGATGGACGAACACCAGGATGTGTCTGAGTGCAGTACCTGAGCAGGGCTGAGCCAGTGTGGGATGATGCTGGGCCTCTGTTGGTAGGGACAGTCACTCACCTGCCTTTCCCCTGTGGGGCAGAAGACACGCCACCAGGAGTGGCAGGGGCCACATTTCCCCAGGAAGGCTGCCCAGGTCACTGCTGCTGGTGCTTCCTCCTTGTCGTCTAACTCCAAGTGTCTCCTCAGTGTTGTGGCCTTTATCACATAAGGTTCGCTCTGAACACCTCACACTGCTGTCTGATCAAGTCCTCGGGCCTGAGTGGAGTTAGAGCTTATCAGTCACCACACAAGCACTCGCAGCTCTTGTCTCAGTGCTGACCATACTCACAGAAAGCAGGAACTGCCAGCTGCCCTCAGGATGGTTGGGGATGTTGATCAGCCAGTAGCAGGTCTCTGAGCCCCAGCAACCTGTGGTGAAGATCCAAGAACATCTTCATTTCCTCGGCTCTCTTTGGATGTCATTATTGAGGATGATCATTTATGAAGCACCTTTCTGCGTGAGACTAGGGGACATTGAGATGAGATTCCTTGCTTCTGATGGAAAGCCAAAGCCATCAGTGATCAGATAACGCTGGTGTAAGCCATGGTCAGAGGCATTTACGGATGGAGTGGGAGTATTGCTGAAGAGGGCTTGCTCCAGTTACTAAAGATCGAGTGGTTCAAAAGAACAAACCACATTGATTTTGTCCACAAATCTGCATTTTGGTCTGGTTTTAGTGTGGATAGCTCCCCTTTGTTCCCCTTCGAATCAGAGGAGGCTTGAAGCCCGGAGGCCAGAATCAACTGAAGGTTCGCTCACACATGCCCAGTGGTTGGTGCTGGCTGTCCCCTCGGCACGTCCCTTCCTCTCCATGAGGGCCTCTCCAGTAGTCTCTGTGAAGGGGATTGTTGGGTCTTCCATGCATCATGATGCTTGGCTCCCCCAGAGTGAGCATCTTCCAAAAGAGAGCCAGGCAGAAGCTATGTTCTTTTTATTACCTAGACTTTGAAATCATAATGCGTCCATTCTACCCTATTTCACTGCTTGGGCGATCAAAAGGCACCCCTGGCCCCAATTAAATAGGAAAGGGCATAGACCCTGCCTGTGAGTGGGAGGAGTGTTGTAGTCCTTTAGGAAGAGCCTGTGGGATGGAAGGTATACAGAGGCCATCCCAGCAAAGCACAATCTGTCACGCTGCTCTAGGTGCCTGTAGAGTTGGTCAGAGGCTCTGATGTGTCTAAGCCCAGGTCACAGCCTTTGATTGGTTGGAGTCTGCTTTCTCCAAATCCTGGGTCCTGAGAATGAAAGAGTGCTGATTCTCCCCAAAGTTATTCTCCTCAATGAATTACTGATACCACCTGAAATAGGAATGGATGCCAGGGAGCCAAAGCAATATTCTCACACCACTGCCCAGAGAACGACATTTCTGATAGCCTGGTACTATTTTCTAAACGAGTTCTCTTGATTATATCCCCATGATGGAAAAAGAGGATTGAGTCACGGGATTGTAAATGTTCTAAACATGTTGATCCCAATTCTCTTAAAAAGCAATAGAACCTTAGTTAAAGAAACAAGCACAATGTCAATGGTGAGTCTGGCAGGGGAGCCACAGTGAACCAGAGTGAGGCATCCAAGTCGTGCCTGTGTGGGGTGGGGAAGGTGCTCACACCAGGCCTCCCTCCTGTGTGGACACCCTCCTCACCTCACGTTGGCTCGGACACCCTGCACTGGGCAGCACAGATTGGGGTGTCAGACTACCTGTGAGGTGAGGATGGCAGCCCAGTGCAGGGAGTGGATGCCCGAGTCGGGTGAGCAGGGTGTTCACACTAGGGGCTGGCCTAGTAGGTGGTATCGGAGCTCAAGTGGGGAGACAGGGGCCTGTACAGGGGGGCAGACTGGTGCAGTTTGTCAGAGCAGGCTGATTAGGTGGGCTTTGGCACAAAGCGGCTGCTGACGTGGAATGTCAGAGCCTACACGGAGGAAGGAAGGGACCCACATAGGGGATGATGGGAATGTGGAAGGTTTGTTATGTAAATCTCTGTGGGGATTAATCAAATAAGTAAACATAGTAAGACTAATGATTAGCTGTCTAAAGATTCGACAGTATTGATGGTATCAATGTAAGTTTCCTGGGTTTGATGGCTGGATTGTGGTTATAGAAGAATGTCTTTGTTTGTAGAAATTACACAGTAAAGTATTTGGGAAGTGACAGAGCGCCATGTCAGTAACTTTACTCTCAAATGGCTCAAGAAAACAAAAGTTCTTTGTATTGTACTTGCAGCTTCTTTGTAAGCTTGAGATTGTTTTAAAATTAGGAAACCCATAGCTTTCACATATACAAAAACCATCAGTTTGAAGATATAACTGAAAAGAAAATCTGTTAGTAGTAACAAAAAACCAGGATGCTAGGAAAAGCTTAACTCGAATTGTGAAAAATCTGTTTGAGGAAGAGTTTTAAATACTCCTGAAAACACAAAAATAGACTTGAGTTATAGAAAGCTAGGCTTAGTTCTCAGATAGGACGGATCTACATCAAAATGTATGATTTCTCCCCAAAGTAATATGTACGTTTATTGTGATTCCTATCAAAATACCAATTTTTTTCCTGTTACACATGTTCTAGATGATTTCTAAAATTTATGTGGAAAATAAGCAAGGAAGATTAGCTAGGAACGTTACGACGAAAAGAAAAAAGACTAGTAAGGGAGAGGATGAACCTGTCAGATATTAAGAACATCTTATAAAACTTCTTTCCTGACAACAGTGTGGCTCTGACTCATGAGCAGACAGAGACCAATCAGACAGAATAGGAAATCCAGAAACATTCCCCAGTACGTATGGAAATGTAGTTTTTCATAAGGGAGCATTTCAAATCATTGGGGACTTTTTAATAAATGACACTGGATCAACTAGACAGTGATTTGTTAAGAGATTAAGTTGGAGTCACATTTCACACAAACCACCAGAATAAACTCCAAATAGCTAAGAGATTTAAATATACAAAATAATACCATACATACACTAGAAATAAACATGGGTAAATTCCTCTATAAACTTTGAAAGGGGAAAGCTTTTCTCGCAATGACTCTCAATACAGAAACATTAAAAGAAAAGATTGATAAATAAACTTCGTTATGTAAATAAAAAACATTTTTAACTTGTATGTCAAAAAGCACTGTAAGTAAGTTCAAAATACAGACAGCAAACTTGGAAAAAAAAACTATTGCAACATATATCATAATTAAAAAGCTAATCTATCTAATATATAAAGAATTCTGAAAATTCAGAAGAAACAGATCAAGAACCTGACAGAATAATGGGCAAAAGACAAGGCAGTCCACAGTAAAATATAATTAAAATATAATGAAGAGTCTCAGCTCAGTCAGATTAAGAGAAATGGAAATAAAATATGGAAAAAAGTGGAAACAAAAACTCTACCAAGACATTCTATT